ACGTATCCTGGTTGGCATCAGTCTGTACATAAATCATATGATCAACTCTGACGGAAACTGCATCCGACAGATATCTCGTTATCAAATACACTTAAACGGAAAAATAGCATTACTAGTGGGAAATATTAACATTTGGCAGAACATATGACACCTAGGAAAATTGAGCTCTATCAATATTATATATATGTTTTAATGCTGTATATATGTGGAATGATATGAAATTATTTTCACATATGTATTGGTTTCTGAATTCACAGAAGTTTATATACTAGTAATAGAATAGGCGAATATCAGATTTGGTAATAGTGTATCGATGTGGTGCGGCATTTTATATCATGGTAAAGTGAATCTGTTTGGAAGAAGACATTTCAGTTTGGCAGCTGTCGATTCTACACTGTTGTCCAACTGCATTGAGGTACTCTTTCTTTATGAAGGTACTTTTAGAATGTGACAGTTCACCGGTTGATGGCCTTAATGACCTTTTATGTGTTGACGGGCCGTTAAGACTGTAATAATAATAACAACAATAATAAAGATCTTAACTTATTGTAACAATAAATCACTTGCATCCAAAAGCTTTTTACTACAAGCCTGATGTGTAGGAAATATTGAAAAGTGTCCTGCACATGTTATGCTCGGGAAGTTTACCTTAAACGGAGCTCATCTACAAGTAGTACAAGCATACCTTAACAACATTATAAAAAACATTAGATTCTCCATTTAGATGGTGATGAGTCCGTTTTAATTGACAAAATACTGATGTTTAAATTTCTATGATAAGCAGGTAAACAGAGCAGTACTCGAACACAAATGAAATCGCTGGAATATAAAGGAATACTTCCGTGAAAAGACTACACTCACTAAAGGCGGGGCTAAGCTACATAAATGCGTAAGAAATTATCGTCATATTGTCCATATTGTAATTAAAATAAATTAATTTCAAACATCTAACGAATGTGTACCACACGTCTACCGTGTCTGATATTTACAAACATATAACACAAGGCCACGGATCAGTGAATCAGTGAATATTAGTGTATAAGAAATGAAATTACGTCTGTGTTGTGATTTGTGTTCTTAATAATAACGAGTATGGAATGAGGAATATTGATAAAATAACAAAATACGAACTACATGTAAATGTAGCTTAAATATCGTTTAAGAAATGAATAAAGCGTCTAGCTTAAAATTTGCTGTACCAAGTCCAGGGGAAAATTGCTGGAACCTTCGGTAAACATTGAGATTTTGGCACGACAAACAAATCCCGTTTTCCCCCTTAAACAATGATAACAGAATCTTGTACAATAATCCAGTGTATACATAATCAAAACCTGTTGTTTAGAATTATTGCGAAAGCAGTTCATATAAAAAGCTAACAGAATTTAGAAAATTTTCTTAGACTTAACAACTCAATTCCATATGGTATATTTTCGTGATCCTGGTGTAAATCTGAACAAAATGAGGCCAAACATGGAAAATTCCTTATAATACGTATCCGTAAACCGACTGTCTAGGAATCATTTGTAATTTCCCATTTGGTACCCCTTTGCCATTTTCTTAGATGCTGTATTTCTTGGCGGGAAAAATAGCGGGAAAATATATATCACTTTATGGGGAAGAGTTATAAAAAAGTCTCACTGCTATCAAGTTATCTTTCTATATAAAATACATGTGCCTGTAAGTAAGAATAAACAAAATACAAATTCCAAAATAGTATATATCCGGATTTTTAATTCAGTAATTGATCTAACATTAAATGTTAAATAGTAAATGGGTAGTAAGAAGGATGGGTTGGGTCAACAATTCCATAATAATCCTCTCTTCAACTTATATTTGTCCCCTTCCAATCCTTTTGGTTATAATTCCCAGTACTTTTCATGGCTGATGTTATTTCACTCAGTACACGTTTCGGTTTATTTTGCATATACACGTCTTCACAATACAATTTTCAAATCTTCTTTTCTGCTTTCTCGCAGCCATAACTGTTGTTGTGTTACTATTTTTTTTTACGTTCATACTGGGTATCAGCAGTTCAATATCATCATCTTTTCATCGTTACATACGTCCCTTTATCTACGTAACTACGAAATTTCCGTTTTTAGAGTCATACATCTCCTTCATGAACGTTGATATTCAGAGCCTCTTGCCAAAAATGACCGGACTTTCACGGTCCTTATCACCACTGTAGATCCGATAGAATTGGATATGGAATATCGGGGCCCAATTGATGCCCCCACCTCCGTTGTTGCACTGAAAGCATGACCTGTGCTAGAAATGGGACAGACGGATGGATGGAGGGACGGAAAGTGATACCGCATTAGAAATCCATTTTCCATGGTTTTATGCTCAGCTATGTTATTCACGAGTTATTATTACATACAGTGCGCTTTGTTGAGAACAAAGACATATGTAACACGCGAACGTTTCTGCTGAGAAGCACGTGATGGATATTGGACAAGTTTGACAGGTGTGTTACTGTGCACGTGCTGAATTCTGGCAGGTGTTCTGAGTAAAGCATGATTCGCACGACGTGATGTATACAAATTGTATCGGCGACAGAGACGTTGTACAATTTTGGAGCTAACTATAAATCGTTACCGGTACAATCGAACCAAACAACGGGAAAAGGGAGGAAGAATGATGGGAACAAGGGAGTGAAGGAGGAGAAAGAGAATATCGGTTGGAGATACATTTCAACCGAAGCTTCCTGCTGGCACGCTCTCTAAATTGACAGATTGTGTGGCGATTGAAATAACTGTCGGCATTTTTATACCAGTTACAGTAACTATAAAACGCCACATGTACTTGGGAATGCATACAACATTTCGAGGATATTTGTTACAAGTCGCTTGCTCAAATCGGAGTCTTATATCATTGATTTAAATGTATTAGTCGACAAACTTCTAATTCTCGATACGTGCAAATCGTCACTGAATGCCATCTACTGGAAAGGTCGTCTGAAAACTTTTTGGAAAACTGTGGATCAGGTCTGTGTCAAATTTGTTACTTCTCAGCAACTTACACATGTATTACGTATATAATTATTATAAAGATTGATATATCGATATAAATGTTGTTGTGAACGTCGTATTTTCAGCAAATTCACATTTTGAAAGTATTCAAATGGGTTCCACAAACAGAAATATGTACAATCTAAGTTAAGTTAAAGTTAAGTTTATTCCGGTGCAGGACTGTTGTAGTCCTCTATACCAGGCTCCATAAAAAAATATACATATGTAACTTCTGAGTATAAAATAAAGCATTCAAAATAAAATTTACAGTTCTGTTTTCCATATATAAATTATGTTATTTCGGCTTTGTAGTTATATACTAGTTCTTGGTTATTCCATATATATCTATGGCGTTTTTGAAATATTTATACTGGTGCGGATATATTGATTCTGGTAGAACTGTTCCATATCTTGACAGTTCTTTTATAGAAATTGTTTTTCCGTAATGTACATGTTGCTCTCTTGGGATATATCTTCTTTGCAGTTTCCTAGCGAAAAAATGCAACTATGTCTTGTGTGATTTGCTTCCTACACCGTATATAATTATTATAAAGATGATATATCGATATAAGGCATTGCAGCATTCCTTGTTGTATACACCGTTTACTATCTTGTATAGCTCAACCATATCTCCATAACAAAAAAAAAACATATGTAACCCTCATTCAAAATAAAAATTAAGGCCAATGTTGGCAATTTTATTTTTTTCAGTCTATCCATATAGTCCAGATCCTTCATGCCTGGAAGACATTTTGTCGCTCTGCGTTGGACTCCCTCTATCATATCTACATGTTTACATAGATATGGGGACCACACTGGACTAGCATAATCCAGCTGAGACCGTACTAGACATTTATATAGAGGTACAAATGATTTTAGGTCCATAAATTGAAATGTTCTTCTTAGGAGAGCAAACATAGAGTTTGCTTTCTTAACTTTATCGCATATATGTTTATCGAATGAAAGATCTGAGTCTATGGTCACTCCAATATCTTTTACCTTAGTTGTTGTTTGAAGGTTTCTTCCTTTGAGGTTGTATGCCGCATGATCAAGGTGTTCTTGGTGTTTTGATATTTCCTTTCCAATTCTCACATGCTTACATTTGTCCGGATGCATTCTAAGTAACCATGTATCACTCCAGTTACACATAATATCCAGGTCTTCCTGTAGCTCAATGCAGTGGTTTTTGTTCTCTATTATTTTAAATATCTTTGTGTTGTCTGCAAAGAGGTACATATCCGATTTGACAACATCTGGCAGATCATTTATGAATATTACGAATAGTATTGGCCCTAAGACTGATCCTTGTGGAATACCTGAAGTTACATTGCCCCATTCAGAGTCTTCCCCATTCACTGAGACTTTATGGCTTCTGTTTGTCAGGAATGATGATATCCAAGAGGGTAATTGTTTCGAGAAGTTATACGACTTAAGTGATTAATCTATTATGTGGTACAGTATCGAAAGCCTTTTGATAATCCATGTAGACACAGTCAATAATTTTACCATTGTCTAGGGCTTCTGTCCACTTGTCCATCACCTCTAATAGTTGGAGACAGGTTGATCTTCCAGATATAAAACCGTACTGTTTTGGTGAGAAGTAGTTGTTTTCTCTCATGAAGTTTGTGATATGTTCCCTTACAATTGTTTCCAAAACTTTACATGGAACAGAGGTTAGACTGACTGGTCTATAATTTCCTGCCATGCATTTGTCCCCCTTCTTGTATATTGCACAGACCTGAGCTTTTTTCCATTCGTCTGGCAGTGTTCCCTCGGATAGCGTTTGATTGAAAATCTCTGTCAGTGGACCCGATATTGATGATGCGATATTTTTTAGGTACATAGGGTGGAGACCGTCTAGTCCAGGTGATTTTTCTGGTTTGAGTTTCCTCAATAGCTGAAAAACAGTTTCCTCCTTCACCTCGAGTCTAGACATTTCTTCTTTGATGGGTTTTTGACATAGTTCTGGTGAGTTGCCTTCATGTTCTTTTACAAAAACGCTGCTAAAAATATTACATAGGATATTTGCTTTGCCTTTGTTGTTATTTTGACTGATTTATTGTCCTCTGGATCTGAATATAAATCTCCGATATCAGATTTAATTGTTGATTTTGACTTAATGTAGTTCCAAATTACTTTCGGATCGGTTTTTGCCTTTGCTGCAATATTCATTTCGTACTCTTTTCTGGCTTTACGGGTTAATTTTTTTACTTTATTCCGTATTCTGTTATATTCCTTGCGTAGTTCTTGATCCTTACTCCCAGTTACTTTTCTGGACAATGAGTGTTTCTTTCTAATGGCGTCTAGTGTTTCTTGATTTGCTGGAAAGCTGTGTCTATTGTTTCTTCCTATAGTTATAATTTTAGTTGGAACAAATTCCTCTTCTATTTCCTTCAGGGTTTTCTTAAATCGTTGCCAGTTCTCATCAACAGTATCTGTCGGTTTTATTATCTCTCTCCAGTTTTTATTCCCTAGCTTCTCATTAATTATTGTGTAGTTAGCTACTTTGTAACATAATTTCTTTTTTCGTTGCAGACTTAAGTTGATATTGCATAATATATGAAACAAAAGTGTGCTGTGATCACTTTTGCCACGTGCACTCTGGTATTCTATTGTTGAGAGTGAGTTTTCATCTTTTGTTACAACCAGATCAAGGATGTGTGGATTATCCCTCCCTCTCCATCTAGTTGGCTGATTGACATGTTGAAAAAGAAAGTTATCCTGAAGTTTTTGTGTGAATTTAAATTCATGTGTTTCTGTGTTTTCTCCGTTGGTGTTCCAGGTCTCCCAATTTATTCCTTGGTAGTTGAAATCTCCCATTATTACGAGTTTTTCGTGCCCTTTACCAGCTGCTTCTTCAAGTAAGTCTAGCAAGGCATAGTTATTTTCATCAGACGTTGATGGTGACCTGTATATTAGACCTAGAAGAATAGATTTATTTTGTTCTGTCCGTATTTGTAGAAACAAATTTTCTTGGAACTGTGTACTCATTACTACTTCATTCGCATCCAGTTCTTTGTTGACTAGGATTAATATGCCTCTTCCCTGATCATTTTCCACGTTTTTACTAAAAATGCTATAATTTTGGTTCCCTTCTATACTGAATTCTGATGTGTTTAGACTACAAACACGGTTTTTTGCCTTCACTTCTGTGATTCCTATTACATCTGGGTTTTCTTTGTTTACTCTAATACTCAATACAGACATTTTGTTTTTAAGCTGATCTGCATTTGTATATAGACATTTTAAATCTTTTATTATCTTTAATTTACGTTTGTTCTTTTTTGTAATTCTATGTGCTGTGTTCCCTATGGTTGCAGGTTTCTTGATTATACGGTTGTGGTTCGAATTCTGATTATTTTCCTGGCCCAAGGTGGGCCGCGGACTTTGTAAGTGAATTCCCCCGATGAATTCTGCTCTCTTTTTTCTTTGGTTACTCTCCATAATTCCTTTTCGTGTTCCCTTTCAGCCTTTGTTAAGTCGTTACTGATTCTTACGCTTTTAAAAACATTTTCCTCGCGTAAATTCTTAATATTTTTGAACAGAGTTCTTTTTATTTCCAGACTCCCAAGTGATACTAGCAGTGGCCTATCTTTTCGCTCCTTGTCAGCTGACTTGTCTTTTTGGTAGTTCCCTATTCTCACAGGCTTAAGTACTACTGTTTCACTTGTGTTGACTCCACATTTCTGGAGTATCTTGTTGGTGAATTCTTTATCATGCTTATCTCTAGCATTCTTGTCTCTATCATCGCACTCGGGTACGCCAAAGATTACTAGGTTTCGCTCCCTTGATTTCCGTTCGTTAATTTCGGACATGATGTTAGTAATATCTGGTTCCGTTTGTGCAGCCTTCAGTGTCTTATTTGAATGTGGCTTTGGCCACTCTTGTGGGTTCAAGCTTGGTTCAGCTTCTCTTGATTCCCTGATTATTCTTCTAACTGTCTCCTCATCACATTTTTTTTGTAATCGAGTCCTCCAGACTCGATATTCTTCCCTCGTTCTCCTTCATAATATCCTGACATCACTCCTCAATTTTCAAATCAGTAATAATGTTTTTCTGTACAACTTCCTTGCAAGCAACACAGAACCACATTGAGTCTGATTTCTGTAGAAACCTGTATTCATCGTCAGATTTTCCCAGGCACCTCGTGAGGTACATCGTTCACATTCCAGCACTTTCGCGTCTGGGTCCAAAAACCTGGTGTTGCAAGCCTTACAGGTCCAATCAGCATCTTCATTATCAGCAGTATCTAGTAGATTGAAATTTGTGGCAAATACAGAACTCTCTGACTCTTTTTGGTTTACTTTTGTGCCTGATTTAGACCCGAGGGGTCTTCCCCTTGATCGTTTTTCGCCGTTGCTAGGGACGCTGCCTCCATCTTTCTTTGTCGTGCTAGCCGACATGTCTTTTTCTTTGTTCCTGGTTATCTCAGTCGACTCGGATTTTCATACAGTACTCAGGTAGCCGTTAGAGGCACGCCTGACCACTGGCAACTTGCAGATTTTCTCCAATCTTCAAAAATAATGCTTTATTCGCGGCAGCTAAAAACCCATTGTTTATCCGGATCGTAAAACCTTCATCAATCAAAGTGATTCACACATAAGAGGTCGTATGGTTGATATTAATTCCGTTTTCTAATCGTATCGAAATGCAAATTTTACACACACACAATGAGAAATGATTGGAATTTTTTTATTTGTTTTGTTTGTTTGTTTTTTTTTTAATCAACTGGTAGAATGTTCAGTATTTGCGAGTACTGCCATGTTTACCATATTTCAAGTTTCATTATATGATTGCATTTGTTAGTTCGATTTTGAAAAGTATCATTTTTACGTTGTGTAAATAAGGGGAATAACTCGTGCCGATCATTACTCAACTGAATGATTTTTTTTATAAATACATCTATGCACATACGTTCTATTTTTTTTTGTCTTTAAATATTGATTTGATTCCAAGTCGAAATATGCTTGTATTTGTTTAATTTGTTTGATTAAGAGAAAAATCCCAGAGATTATTTATTTTTATAATTCTTATTATATTTTTTAACCGGTTAAATATATGTTTGTTACAACAGAGTTACTTCTCCTTGTGTGTATATATATATATAGAACAAATACATCTGACCAAATTTTAAAGTGTTGTTTTAGGTTTCACCATATTGCATGTTGAAATGTGTTCTGTTTCTTTTAATTATGAATTTCTTGTGATATATAGTTATTTTTTTTATTTTGATACAGGACCTTAGTAACCACGTTGATAGAGTGAACAGGGAATACAAAGTTCAGTATACTGGACTTGAAGGAAGTAAGTTGCATATATTTTTCTTTATCTTAAATATTATCTTATGAAGAAGACTTTAGTGATTTATTGAGATTATTGTATTTTGCTAAAAACTTACTGTACTAACAAAATTACAACTACAAATTGCATTTGTATAAGGCAAGTGCCTAGTAAAACAACATTGAAGGATTAGAGTTACTTCCCTTGTAATCTACTTTGAGTCATTTATATTCTATGACTCTTCCATTTTTAATGATGATGATTTCTTCTTATTACTAATTTCTCCCCTTCGGTTGCTTTCCTTTCATTGCCATTTACTACTTGTTTCTCTGTTTCCACTTACGTTTTTAGTTACTGCTCGTCAATTGATTCTCATTTCTTCCTATTAGTACTTGTTCCTACTTGTTACTTTACTTTCAGCTTATTTCCTTTACTGTCTGTACTACTTGTGAACTTTGTTACTTTCCTGTATCACATTTTACTACTTGATACTCCCCTTTCAGGTTCTTCTCTATATTGCCTGTCACTACTTGATACTGAACTTTCAGTTGTTCCTATTATTGCTCATTTTTACTTACTTTACTTTTAGTTACCTTCCTTTTATCACCTGTTGCTGCCTGTTACTCTTTCCAGTTACTTTGTTTCTCCTTATTACTGTAAGAACTTTTTACTCTATTTTTTTTAGGAATAATCCATTATTGCTTGTTGCTACTCGTCCGACTTTCATTCACTTCCCATTATTGCCTGTTACTTCCTGTTACTTAGCTTTCTGATACTTTCCTATCTTGCTTGTTACTACTAATTTTCCCCTTCGGTTGCGCTCCTTATGTTGCCTTTTAATGATCGTTTTTTCTTTCCAGTTTCGTTTTTCTCTAAGAACTTTTCTTTTTGCCTGTTACTACTAATTGATCCACACTCAGTTACTTTCCTAAGTGCATGTACTACTTGTTCCTTAACTTTGTTATTTCCCTGTATTGCATGTTACTACTTGTTAATACATTTTCAGTTACTAGTAGTTACTTTATTATCAATTCTTCATATTATTGCATGTCACTACTTGTTAATCTATTTTCAGTTACTAATTACTTGATTTTCAGTTCTTCCTATTATTGCTTGTTACTACTTGTTACTTTACTTTGTTATTTCTCTGTATTGCTTGTCACCACTTGTTAATCCATTTCCAGTTACTACTAATTACTTGATTTTCAGTTCTTCCTATTATTGCTTGTTACCACTTGTTACTTAACTTTGTTATTTCCCTGTATTGCATGTTACTACTTGTTAATCTATTTTCAGTTTCTACTAATTACTTGATTTTCAGTTCTTCCTATTATTGCTTGTTACTACTTGTTACTTTACTTTTAGTTTGCTTCCTTTATTGCATATAAGTATTTGCCACTTTTTCCAGTTACTTAACCTCTCTAATCTGAAAAGACTTGTTACCATACATTCAGTAACTTTCCTTATCACTGTCAGTACTTGTAGCTTGAGTTGTATGTGTTACTTTTCTTTATTGCCTGTACTACTTGTTTGTTAACTTTGTTATTTTCCTGTATATCTTGTTACTACTTGTTGCTCCATTTTACTCCCATTTATTGACTGTTTCTATTTGTTACTCAACGTTCAGTGTTTCTTTCATTTATTGCCTGTTACTACTTGTTATTCGTTCCAGTTACTTTGCATATCTTTATTGCTGTAAAAACTTAACTCTACACTTCAGGTTGTTTCCTTTATTGTCTGAACTACTTCGTTTCTTAATTTTGTTACTTTGCTGTAACTACTTGATACTCCTCTTTCAGTTACTTCTCTTTCTTGGCTGGCACTACTTGTTACTTGTCTTTCAGTTACTCCTATTATTGATTGTTACTCTTTGTTACTTTATTAATTGTTACTTTCCTTTCTTGCCTGTTACTGCTTGTTACTATTTCCAGTTACATTGCTTTCATTTATTGTTGTCAGAAGTTTTTGCACTACTTTCCTTTATTGGCGGTCAATACTTGTTACTCCACTTTCAGCTTTATGTTAATTCCCTTTTTGCCTGTTGCTACTTGTAACTTTTAGTAACTTTTCTTTACTGCCTGTTACTACTTGTTACCTTACTTTCTGTTACTTTCATTGATCACATGGTATTACTTAATTGTCATTCACATTATTTTGTTGTCTGTTACTACTTGTTACTCTACTTTCAGTGTTTCCCTTTAATGAATGTTACTATTTGTTCCTTAGCTTTCAGTTATTTTCCTTTTATTACCTCTAACTACTTGACCCACTTTCAGGTTATTTCCTTTGTCTTTACTACTTGTTCCTTAACTTCATAACTTTCCTGTATTGCATGTAACTACTTGTTACTCCACTTTCACTTACTTTCCTCTTTTATACCCGCTGCTACTTGTAACTCCACTTTCAGCTGAGTTCATATATTTCAGACTTGTAACTGCATTTTCAGTGACACTTATTTATCAACTGTTACTACTTGATACTGTACTTTCACTCTTACTTTCTGTTGTTGCCTGTTACTACCCGTTACATTACTCTGTAACAGTAAATTACCTTTATTTCATTTTCTTTTGAATTTCAGATTATATAACTAGGAAACTGATTGAAAAAACAGGAAGAAAGTCTGTGTAAGTTTGCCTGCATGTCCCCACTGCCCCAAGAAACATGTACATCTGTTTGTATTTACTTAAATAGATTTTACATTTAACATTTTTTAATATATTATAATCTGTATGGAAACTTTAAAAAGGAGATCATTCCATATAACTACAATTTGTTTTAGAATTTTCATCAATGCATTATCATTGACTTCTGATCCATTAAATCAATATAAAATTACCCATTTTATTTATTGTATTTAGAGAAAAATGCCTGAAGATGTACATATTTCATTCTTGTTGGATCTTTAGTTTGACAATATCACTTTCTCC